TCCTGTCTGCTACTTACAATTGGCTAATGTCAAAGCACAACAGTCTCCTTACCCTCCGCAGCCAATTCTCAGTGATGTTTTATATTCATATCTGTAGAGACCAGAATCGTTGTCTCACTAGAAGCTTCTCAATGTGGGTGGGCATTCTGGGCAAACTGTCATTCTGACAGGCCCTGTACAGCCTGTGGCCCACAGCCGTGATGCTCGGCCCCTTTGGGACCTGGAGTGTTGATTAAAATGCTGATTCCTGCTCCCAAGAAGTTCTTATTATTTACGAGATCAGAGTCAGGGCCACAGACAGGGCCAAGGACTCGGCTTTTGAGTACCCTGTCCCCTGTGGTCCTGCAGGTAGTCCAGAAATCTCATTTTGGGAAATCCTAGTGCAGCAAGTACGGATCTCCTTTCTAGCCTGAGTGTACAAGAGTGGTACCCAGTGCTGAAGACCAAACCTCAAAAGCAGGCACGTTTCCAGTACTGCCACATTGCACTTATCATGGTGATGGTTAGAATTTCTGAGAGCCTGTTGCAAGCCCTCCACTGCTCTGCTGTTTTCTTCTCTCAGCGGTTCTGAGAGCATAAGGAGCCTGCAGAGCTGAATTGGAACCCAGGGACACGCCCTTTCTACCACGTCAAGTGACCGGGCTCATGGACTCCCCAGGGCCATGGCCTTTGTCACTTTTGGAAGAGTTATAGTTGTTTGTGCAGAAGTGATATTGAATGGCGGGGTGGGGGCTCCTGGTATCCTCTTCCCAGAGCCCTTCCAAGGCCTTTGTGCAGTGTGACGTTGGGCCCTAACTCGTGGGGCAGTTTGCCACTAAAAATTAGCTTCTATTCCTGTTGCTTTTGTCTGGTGACCTGACCCAACAAATTGCTTTCTGTTCCCTGCATGAAGCGGGGAAGCACAAGGGCTAAACATAGCGCTGATTGTTTTTACTTTCTTATATTGTACTTCTGAGTGATAAAGATAGGAACAATCGCAATTTTTATCTGCACTGCAGACAGGACCAGTGGCCACCTGGCTGGTGTTGATACACAGTAGCTTGTGCTTTGCATTCTCAAAGTGTGTCAGACATAACTCTGCCAACCAGGAGTAAACTACTTGCTTCAAATGCGGCATTCTATGGCCTGGATGGTTCAGGGAGTTCAAGCTACAAGCTGCCTGGCTAAAGAGGGGTCACCTGTGCCAAGGACGAATGGCAAGTAAGGACAAATGAACACCACAGCCCAGTTGGCAACCTGTGCTAGTATTTTAGTGTCTGCTCCCTCTCTGCTGTGTGCTGAGTTCCGTGTTGGAGTATGCTCCAGAGCCATGGCCTAGTGGAAGTAGATGTGTAAGCGATAATTAAGGGTCAGTTAACATATGCACCACGTGATTGCAAGCCTTGAACTTGCATTTTTTCTGCCTCAGCATCACAAATGCTGAGACTACAGGCATGTGCCACCATGTTTGACTTGAATTAGGGGTTTTCAAGGGTGGTTTTGGTTCTTTGTGATTCTTGCCTGATTTCTGGTCATAGGAAGTTGGGTGCCTGAGTGTGGCTGGGGTAATAGTAGGGGGATGGACCTAGGTGCCAGTTTATATCTTTTCCAAGAGGCAGAGGGCAACAGTTGACAAGGGTTTCAAACACGTCCCTAGAGACAGGAGGAAGGTGTGACTGGAGCAGAACACAGAGTGGAGGAAGCGGCACTGAGATTCCGGATGGCCGCAGAAAGGAGGGAGCTGCCAGACAAGGAAGACGAGGTGTTTGTGTCCTTCTGGCTCCCAGTTCCTCTTCTCTTAACTTCCCCGCAGAGCGGGAGAATTCCAGGCTAGCGAAACAGCAGTGGGACAGCAAGTCGTCTCCTGTGAGGATGGAGCCACCTCTTCTAGTGTCATTGGTTTCTTGGCCCTGGCTGAGACCCGTCTGCTCCGTGCCACAGACTCCAGCCAAGGCTTTTGGGCCTTGCTGCACTGCGGTGGGGGTATCGCTGGTTTCTCCCTCAGTCCAGCACATTACTGGTCCTGTGGTGCCTTTGTGCCTTGTCCCAAAAGGGAAGCTGCCGGCTGGCTACTTCCTGCAAAGCCAAGGAGGCAACCCAAAGGAGGATGAGGGCTAGACCCGGGCCTCGCCTGGCTCACTTCCTCAGCTCAGTCATTGCTCAGCCCTGTGGCTCCGTGGTCACAGACCTCCCCGCTTTGCCAGTTCATCTGTCCTCATGGAAAATGAAAAGACTAGAAAAATAAGAACAGGAAGATACAATGAGCCAGCTACCTGCCAGTCCACAGTGACATGGTTTCTTCACATGTAACAGTACATGTGCTACTAACGAGGAATCACACACTTCTTTCCATAGTAGCACTCCACAGTACTGAATGGTATTGAATTTGCTGCTTCACATGTCCTGTTATTTCTTGACAATTTACTCAACCGGTCTCCTACTCAGGGATAGGGATGGTTCGGCTGTTACTTTTACCATCTTGACAAATACCATCATACATAAATGGCCACTCTTAGGTAGGTTTCCTTCTTCTCTACCAGACAGTCATGGCTTGTTCCATGTCAGTTTGTATCTCTTCTAGCACTGCTTTATTGTTGTCGTTAGCTGTGCTCTGACTTGCTGATAATGTCAAGTAGTTTAGAAGATGGTGACTACTCACAGGGGATGCTTCCCAATGAACACAACTCACAAAAAGATCCTTTTTTTGTCTTTTTTTTTTTTTTTTTTGGCCAGTCCTGGGACTAGAGCTTCTTTTGCTCAAGGCTAAAGCTCTACCACTTGAGTCACAGCACCACTTCTGGCTTTTTCTATGCATGTGGTACTAAGGAATGGAACCCAGGGATTCATGCATGTTAGGCAAGCACTCTACCACTAAGCCACATTCCCAGCTCTCCTTTTTTGTAATGTTTATCTTTGCAAAGAACTTATCAAATACAGGAATATGTGTCTAGAAGGGACAGGTTAGGGCCAGGAAAATTCTGGGATGAGGAAAATTGGGTATTTTGTTCTTAACTGGCCTTCGTGGGCTTACAGATAATACTTCCTGCATTTGAAGCCTTTTAGGCTATGTCCCCTGTGCCCCCTGGTTAGGGTTCCAGTTCCTCAGCTTGTCCCTTGTCCTCAGCAGGGTACTCAAGAGATAGGAGCTTCATTTTCTTCACTGATCTGGCTCCCCGCCCCTCCCCCGCCCCACAGTCTGCATTTTTAACCGCCTCAGCAGCTGGTGGTTATGATGTAGTCCAGAGCAGGTCACTTGGTGGCCTTTGAGAAGTGGCCCCTACCATGGAGCCGGCTACCTCTTCCTTCCTGACTGGAGTATATGGCACAGCTTTCTGACCTGTAGCACTTGTTTCCTGATTCTAAAGCCCGTCCCAGACTCCCCTGTGGTTCCCTTTAGCACTATAGGATATTAAAGAGAGAATGGCCTTGGGCCCAGACCAGGCTGGTTTCATTGTGGTTATGTTAGCTGTACAGCCCTGGACCAGTTACTCAACTCCCTCTAAGTCTCAGTCTCCCCTCTGGGCCATGATGGTCCTGCACGTAGGGTACTGTATGGATTGCGGGACCCAGAGAATGCTCAGTGAGAGAGCTCAGTGAGGTGTTTAAAGACTTGCTAAATATCATTTCAGGTTTACTGCTGTCCTCCTCCTAACTTCCCAACCCAAGCCACTTCTATGCATACAACTTAGGAATATGTACAGGTCAGAAAATATAGCATGCTAACATGTTGATTCTTGAGAGCGTTCTGTGATTATTTACTTTTGCACTGTAACTTAAATATAAGAGCTCTGCCAAGTTTATCTCTGCATCTCCTAAAATTCCCAGAATGGTATCTGATTCCATAGCAGAGAATCAACAAATAGTTCTTGAATATTTTAGTAAGCTAAAAGTTCAAGGGCAAATTCAGCATTTCATAGTGGGGGTCGCTTATTTATTTGTGCATTCAAGTTCAGACCTGAATGTGTAAGTATTGTACCCTTAAGTCTGCAGCCCAAGACTTGTTCTTATGGATTTTAATTATTTTAAATATCCTCAGTTTTAGCAAGAAGTCAAATGAAACTAGGTATGGTGGCACATGCCTATAATCCTCACTACTCAGGAGGTGGAGATTTGGAGGATTACTTTTGAGGCCCTCCTGAAGCAAAAAGCTAGACCTCATTGCAACCAACAAGCTAAGTATAGTGGTATGCATCTATGACCCCAGCTACTGGGAGACATAGATAGGAGAAATGCAGTTGGAGATGGGTACTGGACAAAGAAAGACTTTGCCACACACACACACACACACACACACACACACTCTCTCTCTCTCTCTCTCTCTCTCTCTCTCTCTCTCTCTCACACACACTCACACCCAAGAAACCAAAAAAACTGTAAGTGTTCAAATCCTAGTACTATACCAGGAAAACAAAGCGAAACAGGTGAACACAAAGTACTGTAATTAGCAACTGTTGCTCATATTGTCGAACATTTTGGTGGAGGGGACATATGTCCATGAATATGCAATTTGTGTTATCAGCAAATGTTTTAAAGGTGGTGTTGAGATGTAGTACCTGCCCCATTTTGACCATGGTCATCTGATGTGTCAGAAGCTCACCTGTGTATGGTCTGCTGGCACTGAGTCCTGTCCACAAAGCATCAGGGAACTGAGCCAAGGACATAGCAAATGTGTGGCTGTCTGCCACTTGCAGGGAAGATGTGAGAGAGATTTTGGGTGGAAAATGTTGCTCTGTGTTTTTCCAGGAGGCATTACTGTCTGTTGGGAAGAAAACCAAATCAGAAATGACAGGGATGTATGCGAATCCCCAGCCTCACTCTGCTTCAAGCTCAGCTTGTTGGAAGTCACTCACTTCCATTCTCCACGCCTCAGTTTCCCTTCTGTGAAATGGGATTGAACTGGGTAGTTTTTAGCCTTTTGAACTCCAAAGATTCCTTGTGGCTCGTAGGCTGTTGGTGTAGAAGTAGAGGACTGTTGAGAGGGCCTCTAAAGTCTAATTTCCTATTTGTTATTTATCCGCCAGAAAATGACAGATGGCGAGAGCTGGACAGGAAATGTCCTCTTCAGATTGACCAGCCGAGCACCAGCATCTGGGAATGCCTGCCTGAAAAGTGTCAGGACAGCTCCCTGTGGCACCGGGAGGCAGTGACTGCTTGTGCAGTGACCAGCCTGATCAAAGACCTCAGCATCAGCGACCACAATGGGAATCCCTCGGCACCCCCCAGCAAGCGCCAGTGCCGGTCACTGTCCTTCTCCGATGAGATGTCCAGCTGCCGGACGTCTTGGCGGCCCTTGGGGTCCAAAGTCTGGACTCCTGTGGAGAAGAGACGGTGCTACAGCGGGGGCAGCGTCCAGCGCTACTCCAGTGGTGCCAGCACCATGCAGAGGAGCTCCAGCTTCAGCCTCCCTGCCCGGGCCAACGGGCTCTCCTCGCCGTGCCACCAGGCTGGGCTGCACCGCTTTGGGGGACCGTCCTGCCAAGGGCCACTGGGCTCAGCCCCCTGTGGCCAGGGGGGTGACAACTGGATCCCGGAACCGCACCCTGTGGGAGGGGGCCGGCTGGACCTGCAGCGGTCCCTCTCCTGCACGCACGAGCAGTTTTCCTTCGCAGAATACTGTCCACCCTCAGCCAACAGCACACCTGCCTCAACGCCGGAGCCTGCGAGACGCTCCAGTGGGCTCGCCCGTAGCCGTTCCCAGCCATGTGTCCTTAATGATAAGAAGGTCGGCGTGAAACGGCGGCGCCCCGACGAAGTCCAGGAGCAGAGGCCTTCCCTAGACCTTGCCAAGATGGCACAGGTAAGCATCCAGTGGTCTGGAGGGTGTGCTGGGGTCTCTGTTGTTCCTGGTCCATTCAGCTAAGTATATGGTGTTCATTCCAGAAGCTCCCAGGAGTGGCTTCATTTCCTTGTTTTAAGAATCCTATTCAAGGCTGACCACATGGTCAAGTGCTTGTCTAGCATGTTTGAGGTTCTAAGCTCGAACCCCAGTACTAACAAAGTTTCTAGAATCCTGTTTAAAGAAAAATGATTTCAAGGGTTTTCTGTTTTTTTTTGCTGGTCCTGGGGCTTGAATTCTGGGTCTGGGCGCTGTTCCTGAGCCTCTTTTTGCTCAAGGGTAGTGCTCCTACCACTTTAGCCTCAGCTTTATTGCCTTTTTCTGTGATTAATTGGTGATCAGAGTTGCAGACGTTCCTGCCACGGCTGGATTTGAACCTTAATCCTCAGATTTCAGTGTCCTGAGTAGCTAGGATTACAAGCATGAGCCATTGGCACCCCAGCCTCAAATTGCTGTATCAAAAACATCTGTTTCACTGGGCGCCAGTGGCTCACACCTGTAATCCTAGCTACTCAGGAGGCTGAGATCTGAGGATCCGGGTTCAAAGCCAGCCTGGGCAGGGGAGTCCGTGAGACTCTTCAATAAACCACCAGAAAAACCAGAAGTGGTGCTGTGGCTCAAGTGGAAGGAATGGTAGCCTTGAGCTGAAGAGCTCAGGGATAGCACCCAGGCCCAGAGTTCAAGCCCCATGACCAACCTTAAAAAAAAAAATCTAGCTGGGCACCGGTGGCTCACACCTGTAATCCTAGCTACTCAGGAGGCTGAGATCTGAGGATGGCGGTTCAAAACCATCCCGGGCAGGAAAGCCCGTGAGACTCTTAACTCCAATAAATCACTAGAAAACCGGAAGTGGGTGCTGTGGCTCAAGCGGTAGAGTGCGCTTGCCTTGAGCTGAAGAGTGCAGGGACAGCGCCCAAGCCCAGAGTTCAAGCCCCACGACTGACCAAAAAAAAAAAGTGTTTCTCTATTGAAAACATGTTTTTTTCCCTGTGAAGCGTAGTGTTGGTGGTACTGGACAGACAGATGGGAGAGGCAGGCATGGATGGGCAGTGACCAAACACTGATGGGCTCTTCACCGGAGGCCTTTCTTCAGGACCCACTGTGCGCCCATTTTGAGACACTGACAGTCACAGTCACTTGGGTTGTGCTCATCCATAGGTCAGGGCCACAGGCACTAACTAATGTTAAGAGAGCATGTTGGAGAGAGAAGCTTATTCATTGATTATACTGTTGAAAATGTTAAACCACCAAACAGCTGTGATCAGTACCCTCTGTGACTGCCAGTGTTCACCACAAGAAGAGCCTCTGGCACATGCCTGTGTCCTGTGGACTTCATCCTCTGTCTTGGAGCCCTGCCTAGGGCCAGCACTGATGTTAGGTATTGGTCTACAAGAGATAAACGCCATCATCAGGACAGTCTCTGAGTCTGAGGACTGGCTACATTTGATTCTTGCCAGGGAGGCCCAAGGATACGAATGTGGTGGTGAGGCCCAGGGTGTAGGGCTGCTCTGGTGACATCAGAGTGGGTGGGTGGGCCTTGTGCCCATCTGGGAGTCTCTCAGTTACTTAGTGATGTAGTACACCCATGATTTTTCTAGTCTTTGGGGATAGACATTGGTTGTTGCTTGGTTTGGGGAGATGGATACCTGCTTGCTGGTCAGGGGTGGTCTCAGAAGGATTGGCTGTGTTCTTCAGACCATGGGCACGTCCTGGGCAGGCAGGCTCATGCTGTCTGCTCTGCTGCAGATGGGCACAGCTATCACCCTTCAAGGCCACAGCCTGTTGTCTTAGCTAGGCCTCTTCCTGCATGGGAATGGAAACTATTTCTGTCCATGGAGCTTTCTCCTGTCTCTGTAGTTCCCCTTTCAGCATAGGGGGTCCCCTGTAAATGAGGAGGCACAGGTGTCTCCAGGTTAGGAGATGCCTGGCCCTGGAGTCCAGACTTTTAGGTTCTGGTGCGGGCAGCTGGAGCTGCTGCTGATGTGTTGTACCTCCCCGTGGCCAGGGTTCCACTGGAGGAGGAACCTAGAGAAGTGTGGGGCCCAGAACCTGCCTGCTTCTTATCGTCTCTCTCCACCCTGGGTGTGTCCCTTTCTCCCTGTGTCGCGGACATTTCTGACTTGAGTGCCTTGACAGTGATTAAACACATGCCTTGGGCACCCAGAGACAGCTTTTTCTTTCAGATGAATTTAAATAAAAAGTCTGGAAAGGTGATCGCTCTGAATGACTTCTGAAGGAAACTCAGAACCCTGAGTTCTGAGTGCAGTGCATAGTCTCAGCTAGCTTTATAATACTGAGCCTATTTTATTAGCTAATAAGCTAGAGAGGTAGTAAAAACAACTAACACATGTTATTATATTTTACTAGCCACAATCTGGAATAACACCACTGGCATTGCTGGAGACATTTTCCGGCCTCAGTTGGGTAGAAACTGTTTAAAAATATATTACTCGGTGGGTCCATGCCCAGATGTATAGATTGCTTCATTTGCTCCAGGCAGGCATCCAAGATCCAGGAAGGCATGCTACAGCCTGAGGAAGCTGCCCTGGTTCAGCCTGTCTGCTTTTGGCCTCCTGCTCAGCTTCGAGCCTTAGGTGGCACAGTATCCAGGAAAAGTAGAGAGAGTCCCTGGGAAGCATGTGTAACTAATGGCGTGGGGCCAGAGCCGTGAGGATAGAGCTATGGACCCCTGAGCCATCTCCAGTGGGGTATCCAACCCTGCCAGCTCACTCTGCCTGGGGTTGTGGACTCTGCCCGCAGTGGCACCTCCACTGGATGATTTCTAGCTTGAGGAGGGGCAGGCCAATGGCCCTGGAACTCCTTATGTGATCATGAGAAGCCCTGGACTTGGCTGATCAGTGTAGCGGCCTGAGCCTGGGTTCACAACCATGGCCCTGTTGCTAGTGGTATAGTGTCCAGTCCACTGCTGGAGGGATGGCTGAGGCCAGACTAACTGCCCACACAAGGACCCTCGCTTTCTGTGCTGTGGCTTGAGTCATTTGTAATACCAGAAAGCCTGCAGCGTCTATGCAGACCTATGCCTATGAGAGAAGGGCTTGTAGGTGGCTCAGTATCTGTGGAAGGAAAGGTTTGGTGCGGGCTCTTGCTCCTTTTAGCTGGCTCACAAACGGTTGCTGGGCCTTTGATCTTGCTGTGTGCTCGACTTGTGTGTTCCTGTGAAAGAGTCCCTTTGCCTGTGGCTTCTGGAACCAGACACTTCAGATTAAAGGTGCAAAGTATCTTTTCAGTTAGACTTTGGGAACAGCTGGGTATTCTGATAAACCCTGGCTGACTGGGCTGCAGAGCAGATCTTGAGGGTATGGGAGCATGCAGGGGCTCCCTCCCTGTCCTTATAGTAGCCAGTGGGGATCAGAGCCCTTCCAGCCTGCCAGCAGAAGAGGTGCTAGAGCGAGACCTGAGAAAGTCAGATGGCCAGGGAAGGCAGAGATTTCTGAGATCCTGGTTCTGTTCTTGTCTGCACTGCAGCTGAGTTTAGCAGGAGCAAGTGGCTGGGCATAGACATGGCTTAGGATCAAGTTTGACTTGGCTTGTCCATTTCATCTTCTCATAGAGAAACTGGGATTCTGCTGGTTGCTTGGCCCACCAGGGTCCTTTGGACATATTTCATTTTGGGTTTGCATTTATAATGGAACATGGACAAACAAAAAGGCCTCTAGGAGAGGGAGACTGGAACCTTAGGGAAATTGCTAAGTAGCTCTGTGTAGCAAATACCACAGTTAGGCCAACATAGGACTGTGGGAGAATTAACATGTGTGTATAATATATTTATGTATGTATGCATCTGTACATGTATATATCTGTGTGGGTATGTATCTGTGTCTGTGTGCGTGTATCTATACTATATATATGTGCATTTTTGTCTGTGTGCACACACACACACTCCCTGGCACAGGATGAATGCAGACAGCATGGTCTCTGGGGCGGATGGGCAAGAGTGGGTCTGTTGTGAGCAACTTGAAGCAAAAGGGAGGGTTGGAGGGTGGGTGTTTCCTGGAGACACCATCACACTAAGCACTCCTTTCTTCTTGTTCTTCTTGCCTCCTGTGCTATCCTGTCTGTCTGTCTGTCTGTCTGTTCTTGCCATTTACTGCTACTTGTTTGTTCATCCTCTTGCCTTCTCCTCCTCCTTTTGGAAACAAAGGAGGCCCAGGTCTGCCTGCAGCTCAGCCCTTCCTGCTGCAAACTCATGTTGAAAGTCCAGGGTTATGAAATGGTGACAGATCTGGATTTGCCCCCATCACAGAAAGTTGGCTGTATGTGCATTCCTGTCTTGCCTTTGTTACCTTTGAAACCAGGACGGAAAGACCCGTGGGAGCCCTACAGCACCCTTGTGGGCACAGCCGTTGTTAGCCAGAGGCCTGTGGCTCACTCAGGAGTGAGGATGAGACAAGGGTGGGGGTAAAAATGGCTTTCAGATGGTCTTTGCTCATGTTTCTTAAAGCTCCAGTGTCAAGATTGTGGGCAGGAGCTCCCGATGGGGCTGTAGTTTTTTATTTTATTTATTATTTTTTTTGGGGGGGGGACTGTAGTTGACTTGGCCACGTGGAGAGAAGTGAGGAGTGGCCCAGAGAGGGAAGTGTGCCTATCCTCCTGGTTCCTGCTATGACCCCTTGGATCCATAGAGTGAGGGGCTTGAAGGCAGCCCAGTGAGTCAGTGTTTCCCCATCGGCCTGGCTCAGTCTTGCCCATCTTCTCTCCAGTAATTTCCTCCTGTGGTGGCCTTTAGAGTCCCAGATGCTTGGGGTGTCTCTGAGGCTGCAGCCTCCCTGTAGTACGGTGACTGTGTGCCATTGAGGGCAGGGCTGGTCTGAACATAGGAGCTGCTTATCCACAGGGTTGCACTGATATTAATGATTGCTCATTAAGGCCTGGTTTGACCACCATCTCTTGCTTGTTTCTCAAGCCTCGTGTAACCATTTAGAATGGATCATCTATGAGCA